TACACTACGAGGTGCCAACTAAGTCCGGAGTGAACTTCAATATTGGTGGTTCATTAAGTTTCCCATTTGATCCGGGAATACTTTTATGAAACCATCAATCTCCCACGGTGGTGCGAAAGTTTGAGGACAAACTTTTTTTGAAGAAGGGGAGTATGTTATACCCCTGGATGGCTCCACCAAAATCCCAACCCCTCCCAACATATCCAAAAGTCTTTTATCTTTTCTTTGTCCCAAAATAAAGCCTTTGCCATCTATATTATTCCCTGGTTAATAATAAGAAACCAAAACCTTTTGTTGTTGTTATTTTCCTTCTTTTAATAAACAAATAAAAACCTTTTCTCCCTCCCTTTGAATCCCTGGCCAAAAACCCCATGCCACAACCCTGCCAATACCACTCTCTTACACCTCAACTTGGCTAAACAAACAGCCATAAAATCCAAGACACCTTGACCCACACCACCACCCTTCAACCCCCATGTCTTTACCCCATATCCAGCCCAGGAAATACCTCCAAATAACCTGCTATCCCACCCCTTTTTCTCCTGCCCAAAACAACCCCACCTAAGCCAATCAATTGTGAATTATATTCACATATTCCCTCCCACCACTAATGGCCAAAAAATCCTGCCCTACAAGTACAACCTATCCCTGATTTTTCTCCCCACCAAAGGGACAACAACAAGTGGAGGTCATGCTATTGATTTAGGAGAATAAGATAGGAAGTTTCCATATGTCTACATTCAATGTATTGTGTATTTCTTCCCCCTTCCCCTGCCTATATATAAATCAGGCCCTATGGTCATTGTAGAAAAAAATCCCTGAATATTGAAAATCTTTTACTCTTTGAGTATTATTAAAATAGTGTGATGCTATATTATCCAAATTCCTAATTCTATATCTTAAGAGTGGTTATCTTAAGTGTGAGTTTTAGGTTCTAGATATTTAATTAAGTGTGTCATATCTTAGTTAAATTCTAGATTCAAACCCCAAGTTAGGATAAGAGTGTGTAATATCTCTTAAACACCAACTTGGTTTATCCATCCCTGATTTTCTTCCATTTCATATCCCCCCATTTCTCCTCTTAATCTCACTCTTTTCTTCCAATTAAAATAACCAAAAGAACTCCCTCATCAACTCCATATATTTTCAGTCCATTCCCCCACTAAAACACCCTTCTTCCTGCCCAAAATTCTGCCAAATAATCGATTATCATTCCCCACAATCGATTATCAATCCCATTGGAAACACCTGCAGGGATCAATAATCGATTATCCTTTCCAAATAATCGACTATCAGCTTCCCCAGAAATTCTGCAGCCTTCAGTAATCGATTGTCACTTTGTGAAAATCGATTATCTCCTGCTCCAGAACCCTGAACTCAAAGCTGAATCATTCCTGGATTCCTCCTCAAAATAACAACTCGTTTAGACCCCCGGTTCGGGCCTAACATTTGGTATCAGAGCTCAGCTTCGAGGCTTTCTTAAGTCTCGACGATAACCTTGAGGACCGGCTTCGCAAACGCTGCCCAAAAGAACGTTGCTGAAATTTCTTCCCCAGAAACTTTCAGTTCCATGGCGTTGAGCACGGAGGATGCTACACGACGTATTTGAAGGTGAAACTTTCCAGTTCAGTAGTTTAAATTTTTATCTACGTCTGGCCGCTGATTTCACTCAATTCCGAGTTACGGTTTGAGAGATACGCCCTCCCGAAGTTGATAACACAGTCCTGGCCGGATTCTGTCTACCTTGCTGAGTTTGTCTCCAAAGAGGTAGAAAACATTTTTCAATGGCTCTGAAATTATGATATGTCTTTAAAGACTTCTATATCTAACTCCGGAGTTTGAGAGTTCCTCCCAGGATAAAACCGTTGCTGAGGTTGAGTGCCCGCCTACCGTACCGGAAAAACGTGGGCACTCTCCTCCCAGGATAAAACCGCTATCGTGTGTGGAGATTGTACGGACCAACTACACACCAACGAACAAGAACAACGTAGGAACGTTGGCGACCAAAAACTTTGAAGGGGATGGCCGGAAAATCAAGAGCTCTCTCTAAAGATTAAACAATAAAGTTTTCCCTTTCTCTTCTTTCTTTCTCACGTATGGATGCTCTGAAAAAAATGAGAAGAGTCCCTCCATTTAAATAGGCATTTTCATGGCTCTTCATTTTGTAACTTATATGCCATGAAGGCACATTCAATAGCCATGACTCACCATCATTAGTAGTATTTTTAATGGTGTGTTAATACCACCATTAACATGGGGGTTACACCCATAATGTTTAAAATTCTTCCTATTTAATTGGAGATTAATGGCCAGTTAACTCCGTAAAAGTGGAATAATTTTAAACATTACGTAACGGGTTAACTCTGAGAATCAATTTCTCATTCACCCTTCTACCATTTTTGGCGTATAATATATCAAAATATTTAACTCATTTAAGAGAACACACGTCCCTTAATTAACGGTTAAAACCGTTAGTGGACCTATTGATAATTATACCCATGTTGGTCCATTTAATGCCTATTAAAATGCCAAAAATTCCAACACTATACTCTTCCCCCTTTTGGCATTATCAAAAATAATGTAACAAAAGAACTCATGTATTCCGGGGAGAGAAAAAAATCTAAACAATTAAGAAAAATCACATTCCCCCTAAAATCATGCATTTCTAGGAAATAAAATACTTCCCCCTTAAAAGAATGCTATCACCCATTTAAAAAAAACATACAAAAAGATTAACACATATATCAATAAATTCCCCTTTACTATATGCAAAACATCCTATGTATATTCCCAAATAACAATTATCACAAATATATCTCAAAGATAACATTTAATTTAAAAAAATAGTATTTACTCCCCTTTGATGCAAAATCTTTTGCTAAGTGCTTGGAGCATCCACTACAAATTTGTAGTCTTCAAGCACACCTTCCATGTGCGTCACGTACCCGACCACCCATCTTGTTTTTCAAGAGCGATGAGACAATCGTCCTTGGAAGGTTCATCATACTTCCACGAAAAGTATGTGAATTCATCTTGTTTGCTCATTTTCTTGAGCTTCGGGCACTCAAATTTTCGGTGGCCAAGCTTTCCGCACTTCTGACATTTTGGGGTGTTTTTCCAATTGCTCTTATTAAGCTCATGTTTCATAAAATCATTAAAACATTCAACCAAAATATCACAAGAAGTGATAGAATCACTATCACTATCACTATCCGAATCCGAATCACCAATCTCTACTTTTTGAGAAGAGGATGCTTTAAAAGCAATTCCCGTTCTCTTCTTAACATCAAGAGTATGAGAAAGATGATTTGTTTCGTAAGTGATAAGGTTACCTCGAAGACCGTCGTATGTGATGATGTTGTAATCTCGGCCTTCGTAAATGGAGTTAACCTTCGACTCCCATTCCTTGGTAAGACTTCGTAGAATTTTCCTCACTAACTCCTTGTCGGTGAAAGTCTTTCCAAGCATATCGAGGTCGTTGATAATGTTTGAAAAGCTTCCAAACATGTCCTCCACAAGCTCGTTCTCTTTCATAGCAAATAACTCATATTCATGGGTTAGTAAATCAATTTTTGATTCATGAACTTGAGGCGTACCTTCGTATGTGATCATGAGCTTGTTCCACATTTGGTTGGCGGTTTGGCAATGAGATATCTTTTGATAATCGTTGGCATTGACATCAGAATACAAGAAGTTGATGGCGGTGGCATTCCATTGAGCCTTCTTAAAATCGGCTTCGCCATATTCATCCTCGTCCTTCGGTATGAGTGTATCGCCTATCTTCTTCATCGGCAAGCTATCTCCATTCTTGATAGCAAGAAAAATTTTGAAGTCGTTTGATTGAACAAAAATCCTCATTCGCTCCTTCCAATAGGAGTAATTTGTTCCATCAAAAAATGGCGGCCTTACGGTGGATTGCCCTTCTCTAATCCCTGCGTTCAACATTCTCAAAACAAATTGATCGTTTTCTCAAACGTCAAAGGAGTGTTAGAGATACCTGCTCTGGTACCAATTGTTAGACAAGGCGTGCAACTCTAGAGGGGGGGGGGGGTGAATAGAGTTGTTGAGAATGTTTACTGGTAAGTGCAGCGGAAATAAAAGAGAGAAGGCAAAGAACACACCGATGTATACTGGTCCACCATCTCGTGGCTAGTCCAGTTCCCCGAGAGACTCTCTCGAAGTTACCACTACTTCCGTTAAGCTTACGGGTGCTTAACAAACCGTTTACAACTCGAGAACTTGAATCTCACAAGCCTCGACACAACCGCTCGTAGATATGCCCTCTACAAGATTTCACAACCAAGACTTAAATCACATAAGTCTTGTACAACAAGAAGAACAAACTTCTTCAACCTCTCAACATAAACTCTCACAAGAGTAGAAATGAGAAATGAATAAAGCTCTAATGGATGACAAAACACTCTCTTGAAAACACTTAGTTTTCTCTCAAAATATATCAATTTGAGGAAGAATTGAATGGAGGATTATAACCTCAAGATAGGGGAGTTTAGGAGTGCTTGTTCATTATTAAAAATGACCAAGGAAACGAGTTTATAAAAGGGTTGAAGGAATATGTCCGTTGAAGCTTAGAAAAAAGAGTTTGCTGAATTTTTAACACAAAAAATCGAGGTGCTCATCGGGGTAGCCATTGCCTTGGAACCATCCATTTCAAATCTTTTTAGGAGCTCCTTGCAATACTTTGATTGACAAATGAAGGTTCCTTCCCTCATTTGCTTGACTTGTAAGCCCAAGAAGAAATTGAGTTCCCCCATCATGGACATCTCGAATTCATTTGTCATTAAGTTTGAAAATTCCTTGCACAAAGATTCGTTAGTAGCACTGAATATAATGTCATCTACGTAAACTTGTACCAAGAGGATGTTATCGTTTTTACTCTTGATAAAAAGTGTAGTGTCAACCTTCCCCCTTTTGAACCCGTTGTCCAAAAGAAATTTGCTCAAACGTTCATACCAAGCACAAGGTGCTTGTTTAAGACCGTAGAGTGCTTTCTTTAATTTATAGACATACTCCGGGTGCCCAAAATCCTCAAAGCCCGGGGGTTGATCAACATACACTTCCTCCTGAATAAAACCATTGAGGAAGGCACTCTTAACATCCATTTGATATAGTTTAAAATCCATAGATGAGGCAAAAGCATGTAATAAGCGAATAGCTTCTAAACGTGCTACCGGTGCATAAGTTTCTTCGAAATCAATGCCTTCTTCTTGATTGTAGCCTTTAGCTACGAGCCTAGCTTTGTTTCTAGTGATTATCCCATTTTCGTCGAGTTTGTTACGGAACACCCATTTCGTACCAATTATGGTATGATCATCGGGTCTTGGCACCAATTCCCAAACATCATTTCGTTTGAATTGGTTAAGTTCCTCTTGCATTGCCAAGGTCCAATGTTCATCATCAATTGCTTCCGAAATGGTTGTAGGTTCAAATTGAGAAACAAAAGCCATGTGACCTACGGTGTCCCTAAGAGAGCTACGAGTACTTACCTTTCGGTTGATGTCACCGATTACCTTGTCAAGAGGATGGTCCTTTGAAGTCCTCCATGCCCTAGGCATTGGCGTTTCTTCCTCTTGTGGTTGTTCCTCGTTCATAGGTGGCTCTACTTCTTCGGCTTGGTCTTCCTTAGAGTTGTTTCCTTCGTCATTGTCATTGAGATAAATGTTTTCCAATGAATCTACAAGATCATCACAAGAAACCTTTCTCGCCAAGCGAGTATCATTTTCGGCAAAAACAACATGAGGAGATTCCTCAACAGTTAAGGTACGTTTGTTGAAGACTCTATAAGCCTTACTCCGCAATGAATAACCAAGAAAAATTCCTTCATCCGACTTTGCATCGAATTTGCCCAAGTTATCTTTTCCGTTATTGTGAACAAAACATTTGCAACCAAAGACTCGAAGATGGGAGAGGTTTGGCTTTCTTCCTTTGTATAATTCGTATGGGGTTTTCATGAGTATCGGTCTAATGACGGCTCGATTTAACACGTAGCTCACGGTACTCACGGCATCCGCCCAAAAATACTTAGGAATTTTTGCCTCATCAAGCATAGTTCTAGCCATCTCCTCGAGACAACGATTTTTACGTTCCACCACGCCATTTTGTTGTGGTGTACGTGGAGCGGAGAAGTTATGCTCGATGTCTAGTTCGTCACAAAACTCGGTAAAGAGATCTCGTTCGAACTCTCCACCATGATCGCTTCGTATAGCTACGGTGGTTAAGCCTTTTTCATTTTGAACCTTTTTGAGAAAAGTTTTGAAAACATGAAATGCCTCACTTTTGTGAGTTAGAAATAATGTCCATGTGAATCGAGAGTAGTCATCAACAATCACAAACGCGAAATAGTTTCCCCCAAAACTTTTTGTTCTTGATGGTCCAAAGAGATCCATGTGCAAAAGTTGTAGGGGCCTTGTTGTAGACACAACATTTTTCGATTTAAATGAGGCCCTTACTTGCTTTCCCTTTTGACATGAGTCACAAATGGTATCCTTCTCAAACTTGAGTTTTGGAAAGCCAACTACTAGGTCTTGTGAAACCAATTTATTCAAAAGTTTCATGTTGACATGAGCTACTCTACGATGCCATAGCCACATATCGTCCTCCTTACTCATGAGACATTTGGCAAAGTCGGAGGGAGATTCATCTAAGTTAACCATATAAATGTTATCAATTCTATCACCACGAAGAATCATCTTATTGTCGCTAAGACGTTCTACCGTACATGATTTAGAATCGAAGGTCACACGATTTCCCTTGTCACACAATTGACTTATGCTCAAGAGATTGTGTTTAAGACCCTTAACCAATAGCACATTATCAATAGAGGAGGTTTCGTTTTTACCAATCGAACCAATGCCGATTATCTTGCCTTTGCTATTATCACCAAAGACAACATTTCCTCCTTTAGTTGGTTTGATTTGCTAGAACTTGGATGCATCTCTGGTCATGTGCTTGGAGCATCCGCTATCAAGGTACCAAAGTACACTTGATGCCTTCAAGCACACCTACAAATCAATTTAAAACGATTTAGGTACCCAATTCGTTTTGGGTCCTTGGGCGTTAGGTGCACGTTGGTAGTGTGATTGGTTTTGAGTGCAATGCCTATCCCTAGTGAAACAAACCGGGGCTATATGTCCTACCCTATCGGAATAATGACAAATAACATTTGGATTATGCATTCTCCTAGTTTGATAATAGTTACTAGGTTTTCTATATTGATTGATCCTAGTTTGAGAAAAGTTTTGTTTATGCATATTTATAAAATTATTTCTAGGTTCTCTAACTTGACCATTGTTCATCATAGTGTTCTTTCTAGGTGGTCTAGTGTTCCTAGTTGTTCTAGGTTGTCTATTATTGTTCATTTTAGTTTTCCTAAGTTGAGTCTTAGGTTGTTTAGGTGGTTGCTCAACTTTTTCCTTATTATTATTGTTAGTTTCATTTTCAAACCCTAGGCCATGTTTAGTAAGTAGCAAATTGTCAAGAACATCATTAAAGTTTTTATGAGAAACACCAAACTTCTTTAAGGTTCCTTCAAGTTTTGCAACTTGTTGCTTGAGTGATGTACAAGAACTACATTTTGAACTTTCCGGTTTGTCGGCGCTTCTTTTTCCAAAAAACTTATTTTCTTCTTTAAGTTTTTCATTATCTTTTGATAGCTTATCAACTTCCTTCTCCATGGAAGTAAGTTGTTTCTTCAAATCCTTGTTAATTTTAGAAGCGTTGACATATTCATCATAAAGTTCATTAAAGGCTTCTTGAACATCATCAAAGGTGTAGGAATCTTTAGAAGTGGTACATACCTCTTCCGGTGGTTCCTCGTGTGCCATGAGGCAAAGGTTGGCGCTTTCATTTTCTTCACCTTCCGATGACTCGTCGCCGGAATCACCTCCCCACGAGATGTAAGCTCGGTGCTTCTTGAATGGTTTCTTCTCCTTCTCGTTTTTGGCATTTGGGCATTTTGGCTTGATATGCCCGATTTCTCCACACCCATAGCATTTGGGTGGTCCTCCATGTTTCTTGCCCTTTCGTTCATACTCTTTTCGCATGAACTTGTGGAATTTCTTGATAACGAGCCCGAACTCGTTGTCTTCATCGCTTGATTCCTCCATGGCGGGTTCTTGGCTCGAGGAAGCCTTGAGTGCAATCCCCTTCTTCTTTTGTTCACCTAAAGAGGGGAAAAGGATGGTAGACTCATAGGTTTTGAGGTTACCCCTAAGCCCGTCGATGGTGATGTTGGTGATGCCGATGGACTCTTGGATGGCATCGGCTTTGGAGCGCCATTCCGGTGTGAGACTTCGCAGGATTTTTCTCACAAGCTCCTTGTTTGTGTATGTCTTCTTGAGAGCATGGAGATCATTGACGATTTTGGAGAATCGTTCAAACATCTCATCGATTTTCTCATTCTCCTTCATACGAAACAATTCATATTCATGGGGTTAGAAAATCGATTTTAGCTTCTCGGACTTGATCCGTACCTTCATAGGTGATTTTTAGTTTGTCCCACATTTCCTTGGTGGTGGAACAACATGAAAGCTTTCGGTAATCATCCGGGTTTACGGCACAATAGATGATGTTGATGGCCTTTGCATTGTTCTCCACTTTCTTGATGTCTTGCGCATCATACTCATCCTCGGTCTTAGGGACGTTGGTTTCCCCGACCTTCTTCATGGGCACATCTTCGCCGTTTTTGATAATCCTCCACAGGAGAAAGTTGGTGGATTGGATGTAAATTCTCATATGCTCCTTCCAATAAGTGTAGTTTGTTCCGTCAAACAACGGAGGCCTCGTGGTGGATTGCCCTTCACCTAAACCTGCATATAAGTTTTGAGTAGAAGCCATTTGATCGTTTCTCTCAAACGGTTAAATCTTTCAAAGAGTATGGCTCCGATACCAATTGTTAGAAAATAGGCCCAACGCTAGAGGGGGGGTGAATAGCGTTTAAAACAAAATCGCAGGAAATTAAAAACGAGAGCAATAAAGTAAAGAGCGTAAGGAAGGAGCACACCGAATTTTATCATGGTTCACCACAACGCGTGGCTAATCCAGCCTTTCGAGAGACTCTCTCGAGTTACACTAACTCCGTTAAGCTTAAAGGTGCTCAACGCCTTTGCTTGGAGATACCGCACTCCAAGCTTAAAGGAACAAAAGACTTCCTTCGAAATTACAACAAGGGAACAACGTCCCTAAAACACTCAGAAATAAAACTCTCACAAAGAGTAGATATGAGTGAACTAGTAAATGCTCAAGAACACGACAATTTCTTCAAGAATTGGCTCTCAAATAGCTAAGAAAAATAGGAATGCTTATGGAATGAAAGAGTATTGAAATGTTTAAGAATTGTGTATAAAATGAGAGGATCTGGGTGCCATTTTATAGCCTAAAATGGGATAAACCCATTGTTAAAATTTCCAACAGGATGAAGACAAATTTTTCAGAGATGCAGGGTGATAGTCGATTTTCTAGCCTTGATAATCGATTATCAAAAGATTCCCTGTCCAAAAATTTAAAATTCTATCCGTTGGATGACAACGGTAGCACTGATAATCGATTGTCAGCTAGTGTCAATCGACTATTAGTTCTCTCAGAAGTTCCTGGGTTTTGGCTGCAGACCGTGATAATCGATTGTTGCAAAAGTGACAATCGATTATTGTATGCTTCAGAACTTTAAGTTCAAAGCTGCAGATGCTGATAGTCGAATTGATATACCTCGGGCGGCTACCAACGACTCTAAAGTCGTTAAGCAAATTAACAGAATAATGGCTAAGTGTTATGATTCCTTTTGGACCAAACTTATCAATCCTAAAACCCGTCACATAGCCATAATTTCCCTGAGCCCAACTCTAACTTAAAAGGCCCAGCCATTCTCATCCAATCCAAACCCCAAAATATCCAAAATAATAAACCCAAAACTACATTTATTTTTCCTTCATCCCTGGCCAAAAACCCCATGCCACAACCCTGCCAATACCACTCCCTTACACCTCAACTTGGCTAAACAAACAGCCATAAAATCCAAGACACCTTGACCCACACCCACACCCTTCAACCCCCATGTTTTTACCCCATATCCAGCCCAGGAAATACCTCCAAATAACCTGCTACCCCACCCCTTTTCTCCTGCCCAAAACAGCCCCACCTAAGCCAATCAATTGTGAATTATATTCACATATTCCCTCCCACCATTAATGGCCAAAAATCCTGCTCTGCAAGTACAATAATCCCTGTGTTTTTCCCCACTAAAGGAACATCAACAAGTGGCCATTAATTTCTTTAATTTGTGTGAATAAGAGACTTGGTAGTCTCCCTTATTTTGCTATATATATTTCGGCCATAGGCCTTTGTAAGGAGCAGATGGTATTCCCATTTTCAACTTAGTAATACACTTGTTTGTGTGTGCTACTTTAAATTTCTAAATCTATATCTTAAGAGTGGTTCTCTTGAGTGTGAGTTTTAGGTTCTAGTTATTTAGATAAGTGTGTCATATCTTATTTAAATACTAGACTCAACCCCAAGTTAAGATAAGAGTGTGTAATATCTCTTAACCCCAACTTGGTGATATCTATCCCTGATTTTTCTCCACCCCATATCCCTCCATTTCCCACACTAAAATCTCCCTCCTTTTCTTCCATTAAGCGTAAAAGCACCCTATCATCCTTTCTCATAACTTCCCCACATAACCTAGCCATTTTCCTTCCATACTGAACCTCGGGTAACCTTGATAATCGATTATTCTTCACTGATAATCAACTATCCAACACCCCTGAAACTCCCCTGGCAGAATCTGAAACTCCAAATAATCGATTATCAACTATTGATAATCGACTATCATGCCCTTCTGAATCTTCTTGGCCTGAGCTACATATCCCATAATCGATTGTTGCTATCTTGACAATCGACTATTTTCCCTTCATGAACTCCCAAACTTCCTTCCCAAGAATCTGAACCTCTCGTTAGTCGATTACCATAAATTGATAATCGATTATTCCTTTCTCCTGCAGCTTAAGAGGGTTTGTTCCTGAACCTAAAGCCTAATCCCGGAGCTCGGGTATAACACGATTGTCACTAAAGTGATAATCGATTATCACCCAGCTAAGACCCAGCCGGTGAAAAACCCGTTTAGAAAAACCGAGGTCCAAAAACGAAGTGTTCCCAAAAGTAAAAACCAAGTTTGAAAAACATTAAATATGGTATAAAATAGTGAAACCAAGGCTTGTTTGATAAAAAAGCGAGTCTTCAAGGTCGTTTATCACGTGTGTACGGTTTTGACCGTTTTCACATGTTTAACCGATTGACCAAGATACAAAAGTGGTTTTTATAAAATAATTATTTGGGAAGCTTTTAAATATGCCCAAAGGTAAAAACAAGGTTTAAAAAATTGAAAACCAACGAGTTGGTTCTGACGCCAAAAACCGTACGCCGAACCCCGAATGCCGTACGCCGATGCCGAACACCGAGCGCCGACCGAGGTGGTTTTTGGTCTGGGCAAGGACCAGGGATTTTAATACAATGAAACTTTTAAAAACGTTTATTTGATGCACAAAAACGTTTTATGATTTTGTAAAATTATTTTGACTCTTTGAGAACCGAGACTAGAATTAATTGTCGGTTTTGATTATAATAAGACCGACTCGACTAAGTCTTCATTTCTTGATCTTTGTCCTTGAGTCTTTTGGTCTTGTTCCATGCCATTCTTCACGCCTCGAGTTGTTCAACGAAACTCTTCATATCCACGGCGGTTTGGCAATTATCAAAACCTGTTAGAAATGAATACGACTTTAGTTTAACATAGTAAAAAGTGTGTTCCAACAATATTGGCCTAGGAATCACTAGGAATATATTTGTCAATGTTTGTATTATTGTTCTAAAAAGAATCAAGGCGTTAAGTTTTCAAAATGGATCAAAACGAAGCGAAAGATAGAGGACTGCCTTCGGGATGGTCGACCGCCGCTACGGACGGTGGACCGTTCCCTCGGACATCCCGACGGTCACCACCGTGACGGTCGACCGCCGGCCGCGACGGTGGACCGTTTGAGACCTAGACCCAGACCATAGCCCACGGTCGACCGCTGGTAGGGTACGGTCGACCGTTCTTCGGGCAGATTTCCGGGTATTTTGTAGAATGAGTCCCGTTGACCATATTGACCCAGAATCTGATTGTATGTTTGTATGAAATGTTAATCTACGATATGTATGCTATTTAATTGATATATTCTTGGCGTTGACCAAAGGTAAATATATCAAGCATTCATCATGTTCATCCTAGACGCATATCCTAAGTTTATCATCATGTGCATACCGCTGTAGGGAGGTCAGGCTTTCGTGCGCCTACTACAGTGGGCCCGTCCAGGAACCTTTGGGATCCAATGGGTTTTCATCATGTGGGCTTTGTGTACGTACATGGTAGTCAGGTTACGGCTACTACCCGGTTTTGCTAGTCCACTTGTTCCCGACTCATTACCGTTTCGGAATGACAACCGGAGTGCAGGGGTGATCCTGTCAAGTGAGGCTAAGCCAGGGGTGTCCCTGAAAGTTCAGGTCATGCATCAAGTCGTATCATCATCATGTATGTTCCACTTCACATTAACATTCAATGTGGTAGCACATCATTTTGTTATATGTAATAGTACCCCAATAGATGCAAACTAAACAGTCAGTAAACATGTGGTTTTCCATACGTTAAGTACAAGTATTAATATGTGTATAATCATATGGGTTATCACTTCATGTTCTTTTGTTAGATTCACTCCTCAGCTTTTGCTGAGCGTGTAGTTGTTCTTGCTACACGCAGGTAGACATGACGGTACAGGTGCTAACCCTGGAGGACAGTGATGATGGGAAGATGGGCGGCGCACGGACGAGTTTAATAATTATAATCATTTGAATTAATTAATCATTTGGGCATGAACCCATCATATGTCGTTTTGCCTATTTTGGACTTATTGATTTACTTCCGCTTTACTCTGCATTTACATCACACACGTTTTGGGGTTAACTCCCTAGCATTTATTCCACTAATTAAACCCAACCGTTTTCATAATAAATGAGCAATAATGTTTTCCACTACAGACGGTTCTCGGACCGCCCATGTAACCCTACCGGTCCGTTGGGTCGCTGGTGAACCAGGTCCACGGAAGGCGGGTGTTACATCAATAGGCTCCCCAATCAACAAATATATTTCAAATTCAAATTTGAATTATGAGAGTGTATTTTTGGTGTAGAAAATGAGTCCCAAAAATATTTTGTGTGTCAAACGATGAACACAAAAATATTTGAATAAAATATTTTTGCTTTCCAAAAATATTTTCTAATATCAAAATAAATATTTTGATAAATGTTTGACACACCTTTGGTAACTGACTCAATAAATGTATTTTGAATAGTTAAAAGGATTTTTCAACGGACTCAAAAAATTTATTATTTTTATATTTACTCTCATAAAAATAATATTTGGAGAGAAGATATTTTGTCATCCTTACAATAATTCATAAGACTCAAATAAATAAAAAGTCTTCGGAAATCTTCTACTCCTCCGAGTCCTCCGTTAGGCGCTCCGAACATGTCTCGAATTCCAATAAAGTCCTGTGCACCTTCTTGAATACATCAAGGAATTTGCACTTCAAGTCTTCGTGTTTGTCGATGTAGCACTTTGATCTTGACTTGAATAAATTGTGTTTGTCAATTATCAAAACCTGTGAGTCAACACTTAACAACACAGAAAGGGTTGAACTCATGCATTCCAACAATTTCCCCCTTTTTGATAATGACAAACACATGGAGGATATGCTACCAACAAATAATAAATTAAAGCATATACTGCTATACTCTTCCCCCCTTTTGGCATTATAAAAAATAATGCAACAATAGAACTCATGTATTCCGGGGAGAGATAAAAAAATCTAAACTATTAAGAAAAATCACATTCCCCCTAAAATCATGCATTTCTAGGAAATAAAATACTCCCCCCTTAAAAGAATGCTATCACCCATTTTAAAAAAAACACACAAAAAGATTAACACATATATCAATAAATTCCCCTTTACTATATGCAAAACATCCTATGTATATTCCCAAATAACAATTATCACAAATATATCTCAAAGATAACATTTAATTTAAAAAAAATAGTATTTACTCCCCTTTGATGCAATCTCTTTGGCTAAGTGCTTGGAGCATCCACTACAAATTTGTAGTCTTCAAGCACACCTTCCATGTGCGTCACGTACCCGACCACCCATCTTGTTTTTCAAGAGCGATGAGACAATCGTCCTTGGAAGGTTCATCATACTTCCACGAAAAGTATGCGAATTCATCTTGTTTGCTCATTTTCTTGAGCTTCGGGCACTCAAATTTTCGGTGGCCAAGCTTTCCGCACTTCTGACATTTTGGGGTATTTTTCCTCTTGCTCTTATTAAGCTCATGTTTCATAAACTCATTAAAACATTCAACCAAAATATCACAAGATGTGATATAATCACTATCTCTATCACTATCCGAATCCGAATCACCAATCTCTACTTTTTGAGAAGAGGATGCTTTAAAAGCAATTCCCGTTCTCTTCTTAACGTCAAGAGTATGAGTAAGATGATTTGTTTCGTAAGTGATAAGGCTACCTCGAATAAAGGGAACTTACAACTTCCGTAAAATCGGAACAGAACATATAGAGAGTCAAATCCTCCAGAAAATACCTCAAAACAATAACTAAACTAATATACAATGAATTATTGAGTAAAATAGGTGAGAAACCCGAAATGGGTTGAGAGATGGTGTGGAATGAGTGAGGATCCATGCTGTATTTATAGGAACGGAGCCAAGGCGTCCAGGTCAAAGTGTACAAGTCCAAGCGTCCAGATCTGGACGCCTGAGCTGTCCCGGCCAACCAGGTTTTGCAGCGTGTCATTCTTGGGCTACAATTAAGCTGAAGCGTCCAACTCCCAAGCATCCAAGTTGGAAGCCTCATGCTCTTCTCTTGGTGGTCTTTGCGGCTGGTTCGTGATTTTGGCCCAATTTCGCTCTGTTTTGGCCCGAACACTGTTTGTGACCTCCCGGAAGCTCGTTCAAGCCCGAATCTTGATCCTTTGATAATGGATTCCCTTTTTCTCAAGTATTTGAACATAAAATGGATGATTTATGATGATTTCATGTGGAATCCCTTTTTATGACTCTTAGAACGAAAATGAGAGTTTTATGCATTAAAATCACATTTTATGAGATTATTAAATGCTTTTTAGGTGCAATAACGTTTAGAATATGATGTAAACGATAAGAACGAAACAGACTTATCAAAGGGACAAGTGAAGAGACGGACGAAAGTGGGAATCGGTGGACGGTCTACACGGATGGATCGTCCGCGAGTGATGGTTCCGGGGGTGGAGTTGTGGTCATATCGCAGGAGGGCTTCAAGGCTTATTACTCGGTAAGGTTCAGGTATAAAGTGCCCAACAATGAAGCAAAATACGAGGCTCTCCTATGCAGATTGAAACTTGTAGCTTCCATGAAGGTGGATTGGGTACACGTTAGATGCGACTCCAAACTAGTTGTTGGAAACATTATGAGAGAATTTGAAGCAAAGGACGAAAGAATGAAGAGATATAGGGATGCTGCATTGGACCTATTCAAGGCTTTTAGGGCATATCGAGTGGAACAAGTCCCCAGGAGGAAAATATTGAGGCAGATATCCTCTTCAAGCTCGGCCAAGACTCCCTGGAGCATATCCGAGCGATGTCACAAGAAGAAGAGTTGTATGAGCCAAGCATTAGCCCCGGATTGATCTTAGTGATACCGGCTAAGGAACCAGACTCGATTGACGAATTGACTGCCTACATCCTAGAAGGGTCGGTGCTAGTGGATCCGATCGTAGCCAAGGTCATTAAGCGACACGCATCTTGTTACACGCTAGAGAGCGGAAGGCTTTACAAACAATCGTATAATGGGACGTTGTTGATATGTTTAATGACCAACGAGGCATAGAAGCTGATGAAGGAAATTCGTGAGGGAGTATGCTCAGCACACCAAGGGGCTTTCACGATGTCCTGGAAAGTAACCTTGCAAGGTTACTTTTGGCCAATGATCATTCGGGATTGTGCGGAGTATGTCTGTAAATGCACGGTGTGCCAGAAATTTCAGAGAGTACCAAGTTGACCAGCGACTAACTACACCCCGATCAGCACCGCGATACCATTCACCCCCTGGGAGATCAACTTGATCGGTATACTGCCAAGAGGGGCTGGGAACAATATGTACTTAGTGGTCGTCAAAACAGATTTTATGCCGATTTTGGGTCCCCGAGCAGATTATCACTGACAACAGAACTTAGTTTGAGGCAAGAGGATTCAACGAGTTCCTGCATAGTCAGGGGATAAAGCACAACTATGCCGCGGTCGGGTACCCTCAAAAAATGGTTGGGTAGAAAACACCAACCGCACCATCATTGATGGTTTGAAGGAGAAGATCATGGAATACAAGAGCGCTTGGGTGGAAGAGCTACCGTACATCTTACGGACTTACAGGACCACCCCGAGGAAGGCTACTGGAGAAATGCCATTTGCCCTAACTTATGGGTTTGAGGTAAGATCCCCAGCACAGACCTCATTACTGAGTTATCGGGTAGAGACCTTTGACGCGGAGGAGAATGAGAAGAACTTGGTGGCACCAATTGGTGGACGAGCGGAGATAAATGTCATATGCTGAGAATTATCTCCGTTAGGTCAAGTCATGTCACGACAAGAGAGTGCGGCCCACGTTATTTTTTAAGGGTGACTGGGTGCTAAAGAAGAGAGAAGTTAGCTAGCCAACCAACGGGTGAAAGTTTACAAAGAATTTTGAAGGGCCATATATCATTAAAGAGGTAATGTTGGCCAATAGAACCTACAAGCTGCAGACCCCAATTGGAGGGGATGTTCCACGTGTTTGGAACAGTGCAAATCTTATCGAATTTTATCAGTAGCTTGTAATGTTTCATGCTCCACCTTTGCATTTAATAAAATCATATTTCAAAACTCATTACTTTCCACTTGGAAGAGAAAAATGTAACGTGTCAAAAAAAGTGACCACGAATGTGTCGCAATGCAACGCTGGAGGCAACCTAAAACCTTTTTCTTAAACTGATAAAGGTTTTACAATTAACGCAGCTAGATGATGTCCGTGCTAAGCCGCCTACCGAGGGTAAGGCACAGAACCAACATACTGCCTTGTCAACCAATGAGGAGTGGGACGACCGAGAGGTTAAGACGTCGCCTGGGCAACAATGCCCACATTAAAAGGCTTAGTCAAAGAAACAAGGTTGTTCCATCTCATTGAAGAGGTGGGGTGGCTCAAAGGGCAAGACAACGCCCGGGCAAAAGTACCTACATGAAAAGGCTATGTCAGGGATGCAAGGCTGTTTCATCTCACAAGAGGGATGAGGCGGCTCAAAGCAACCTAACCACTAAGGACGACGCTCGAAGAAAAATGCTCATGTGAGGTAAATAAGCTAAGTCCAAGGATATGGTAGGACCCTTCAAGATAATAGATGCGTAATGCCAACTTAATATCCATTAAATCGGGACACATTCATACATTCATAACAGTCACAAAAGAAAGGTAACACGATTCCTACTACTACTATTTACACATGAAGCTCATATTCATTGATAAAAACGCGTAGAACAAAGGAAATAAGAATAAGACGCCTCACTTTCTTAGCTCGCTTTGCTGGATGCGGGCTAAAGGGGGGAGGTAGAGGACATGCTCTTCTTTAAGGAACCCCGGGGTGGTGAAGGGTAGTGTTGCAGCTATATAATGCCATGACTTTTTATCAATTAGTAAGATTTTAAGGTTTTTGAATAGGTGGTTTTAATGACTTTGTATTGTTTGTAGTGACCAAAGGTGGCCCTGATATTAGGGTTAAAGACTTGTCACTAGTTGGATTTAGGGTTAATGACTTTTTATCAGATAGTATGGTTTTAAGGTTTTTGAAGAGGTGGTTTTAATGACTTTGTATTTTTTGTAGTGACCAAAGGTGGCCCTGATATTAGGGTTAAATACTTGTCACTGGTCTGATTTAAGATTAATGACTTCTTATCAGTGATTAAGGTTTTAAGGTTTTTAAAAGGTGGTTTTATTCATTTTGTACGTATTGGTTGTAGTGACCAAAGATGGCCCTGATATTATGGTTAAAGACTTGTCACTGGTTTGAATTAAGATTGATGACATCTTGTTAGTTGAAATTTAAAGACTTCTTACTGGTCTGGAAAAACTTTTGAAAGGACACTGAGTATGTGGATACTGATCTTAAACACTTTTATTTTTGGAATGATTAGGAATTTAATAGGTCATTAATGGTTTGGTTTTTAAAATGCTAAATGTGATTCCTGGTATATGTTTGGTTTTATGGATATTTTGCAACAGGTGTACAAAAGGTTCTGTGATGAAGAGGCTTTGGTCGGGAAAGCAGGGCTTAAGGTCACTTGCTTTTGTAATGTGTGGGTGGGTGCAAAAAGTGTTCAAGATGTGGTTAGTGCTTCGGAGGTGGCTGAATTGAAGGATTCTGCATTTGGTATTTTCTTCAAGCTTGGGGGAATAAAGTGGGTTAATGGTCAGCTGTTGATTTTATTAGCATTAAATCAAGTGGAACCCATTAAGAGGAGTGGAGATGTAGATAGAATAAAGTTTCACATTGGAGAAAGGATAGTTGAGTTTAAGAAGTCAGATTTTGCGTTGATTACGGGGTTGAAGTTTGGAAAGGAGGCTGAGTATGGGGATACTGACCTGGAAAAGGCAAACGACATCAGCACAAGGTGTTTCAATGGGAAAATGAGCGTGACCCATATACAAGTGGAGAATGTATTCAATGGTATCAGGAATCACTACAAGAAAAAAGAGATACAAGGACATGAAAAAAATGTCATCTATTATATACAAGGACACTTAACCAATGTGTCCTCTATCTAGGAGTCATAGTAAGTCTAAAACAAGGACACATAAAATGTGTCCTCTTTTCTTTAAAAGGACACAACAAAATTTCTTCAAAAGGTTTCCTTATATCAATAAGAAGACCCCTAAAATGTATCCTCGTATTATCCGAGAAGTGTCCTCTTTCCTTTATCATGACACTATTTGTGTGTCTAAAAAATTTTATGAGAATAGTCTTAAATTAATAAGATGACACATTGATACTTTCTAATTCATGCCCTCTATTCACTATTAGAACACAAACTTTATGTTCCGAAAAATACAATAAGCCTTCATATCATCATTTTAATTGTCATTCTAATCAACACATATAGTATAAGAGTTCTAATTTTACAAAAGTTTTTACACGAATCCAAGAGACACGGTGAGATAGAAAAAAAAATTGATGTCCATGATGCCACAAAACTTCACTAGATGGCCACTGGACTCCTAGATTCCATTGATAAGCATATCTACTAGAGATCGTAGCCATTTGTTCACCCATGAGATGACGCATCTACTCCCTACCATCTAAAAAGGTCCGAGTAAGTAAAATAGCAAAATATATAAATTTTCAACCAGATATGCATGCATAGCCGAAATTCAAACAAGAATGCAAATTTAAAAATATTCACCCATATTTGCATGCATAGCCGAATGGCTTTCTATGGAATAAAGTCACTAGCTTATATAAAATTATATAAAATTATAATGTATACCAAAAATTTACATGAGCCACTTTATCATCACTGTCCTCATTTATTTTAAGAATATTCTAGTTGACATAACCCAAAAACTTACACGCCTGAATTTTGAAGCTGCTCCCATCTGGTTGACAACCGAAGAGCAACTCACCAAATAATTAAAAAACATCTAGATCATATTAGTTGGAGCAACTAAATTGTACCATCACTCAGATTATGCTGGTCTAGAAAGATTTGATCTAGCAAATTATAAGAAAGGTCAGTGATTGAAGCACTCCAAATCCTTGTTTACAGTTTACCTATTAAGAAAAAAATCATGTAAGAAAGCCAAACTTGCAAGTGGCTCTTAAGCATCTTTATATCATTCTAGGAGTGATGGAAGGAAAATAATCTTAAATAATGTAAAAAATGATAGGGAGACCTGCACATATTCCCAGAACTGAATCACCTCTCTTGTGCAATTGCAACCTGGAAATTAGTGACATAAACCAAAGAAAACAACATTTGTGAAGTTGCATATTCATTGGGTGAATCACCTCTCTTGTGCAATTGCAACCTGGATTTGGAACAGAATCAAATCAACCCTTCAATACCATCAAATACCAATTTTATCTATATTGAGTCATTAAACCAAAAGCAATAGCACTAAAATGAACAATAACCACAAAATCTAACCTAAACAAGAAAGAAGCAAATAAAGAACAACTTTGACCTGAAGATTATACCAGCAAAGAGCCATGGACGCTGTGTTATACCCGAGCTCCGGGATTAGGCTTTAGGCTCAGGAACAAACCCTCTTAAGCTGCAGGAGAAAGGAATAATCGATTATCAATTTATGGTAATCGACTAACGAGAGGTTCAGATTCTTGGGAAGGAAGTTTGGGAGTTCAGGAAGGGACAATAGTCGATTGTCAGGAAAGCAACAATCGATTATGGGATATGTAGCTCAGACCAAGAAGATTCAGAAGGGCATGATAGTCGATTATTTGGGGTTTCAGATTCTGCCAGGGGAGTTTCAGGGGTGTTGAATAGTCGATTATCAGTGAAGAATAATCGATTATGAAGGTTACCCAAGGTTCAGTATGGAAAGAAAATGGCTAGGTTATGTGGGGAAGTTATGAGAAAGGATGATAGGGTGCTAGTAGGCTTAGATGAAAGAAAAGGAGGGAGATTTTAGTGTGGGAAATGGAGGGATAAGGGATGGAGAAAATCAGGGATATATATTACCAAGTTGGGGTTAAGAGATATTACAAACTCTTATCTTAACTTGGGGTTGAGTCTAGCATTTAAATAAGATATGACACACTTATCTAAATAACTAGAACCTAAAACTCACACTCAAGAGAACCACTCTTAAGATATAGATTTAGGAATTTAAAGTAGCACACACAAACAAGTGTATTACTAAGTTGAAAATGAGAATACAATGTGTTGAAAATGCAAGGCCTATGGCCGAATTTATACACATACAAGGGAGACTACCAAGTCTCTTATTCACACAAATCAAAGATGGAATAATAGCCACTTGTTGATATACTTTTATTGGGAAGCAAAAATCAGGACAGGGTGTACTTGTGGGTCTGGGTTTTTCGGCCATAAGTGGAGAGGAGTATATGTGAAAGTAATTCACTTATTTGGCTGTTTTGGATGGGGATTATTCGGCCAGAGGAGGGGGGTTTGAATGATGGAAAATGGCTGGCTACTTTGGAGGTTTTATGAGAGGAATATGGAAAGTACACTGGCCTGGTTGATTGGTGGGAATTGTGGGTCCTTATTTTGGATTGTAGTTATTGTTTAGCCTGACTATTTGGGGAGTACAATGGGGAACCAGAATGGGTTATGACATGGGGTTTTTTGGGTGTTTATTTTCGGCCAGGG